CGCCTTTTATCGAAAAAACCGCACTTTTACAATCAACTCGCTCGCCGCGACCAACTTTCGGTGGCTCGTTCTCAGCGTGGTCGAAAAATGTAAAGCATGTAAAACTAAAAACGCGCTCGAGATTGTCCGTACGTCACGTAGATTGTCTACGTTTTAGCGGGCAGAAAGTCAAAAAACATCATTTTCAACTTAAAAAGGCATCAAGTCTTCGCAGAATTGATCAATTTTTATTTTTTTGGTATCAAAATGATCTTTGCACACGTCCACACAAAAGTTATCGGTTTTGAGGGCGCAATTTTTCGACCACGCTGAGAACGAGCCACCGAAAGTTGGTCGCGGCGAGCGAGTTGATTGTAAAAGTGCGGTTTTTTCGATAAAAAGCGTTTTAAAAAAATCGAGTCAGACGGATTTCGATAATTTCTTCACCATTCGATTCAGCACAATTTTCTGCATCGAATGGATATTCAAACGTGAAATTCTGATAGAGAACACCATTTCGCGCGGATGTGCCTCCCCCCTGAAAAATCCCCACCGCCTGATAACTTCCCTCCTGATAAAGGGAAAGATATCAAAATATCCACATCATCAAATCGATTTCCTGCCAAATTATAATCAGAAATGAGTTTTGTTTTAATTTTTTGACATTTTTAATAATTTTAATGCTAATAAAAGTCTAAAGAAAAAGCAAAGAGTGAATCGAAAAAGGTTGGCGCTAGAAAATTTGAGGCACTTTGACGTTCATAAAATATATTAACATTTTAGGGAAGGGGAAACGAACTGTACTTTATCTTTATTACTTTATAATTACTTGATAATTACTTTATAATTACTTGATAATTACTTTATATGTTCTTTATGTGTACTTTATATGTACTTTATAATTAATTTTTCGTTCTCTAGGTAGAATCTAAGCTTTTAGAAGGTTTCTTATAACAAATTTCTTATTTTCTGAAAGCTCTTTTCAAGGGCTACACAATGGTAATAAAATGTAGAACACTAACAGTTTAAACTCAAAGACAAGGGAGTTATAGACGCGCGAAAGTGACGATATTTTTTCAAGTATGATATTTCATTGTCCAGTAGTGTATGTTAAGGAGAAATTACGACCGGTTGATGTTAGAAAATATTTTTGTCTGCTACGGAATTGATGGTATCATACTACATTCATATCGCATGGGTGTCTTCAACAAGTTTAAACCCCGTCCTATGAAGGTAATCGTCGCCTTTTCGTTCTCCAGGTAGAATCTAAGCTTTTAGAAGGTTTCTTATAACAAATATTAGATAGATATTCGCTAATCGAACCAAGATTTTCGACAACCGCCCTCGAATACAAAATTAGAAGATTCTCTTAACAAATTTTTACAAAAATTTAAGATTTTAAGATTTTATTAGAACAAAAAAATGTTTTCACAATCGAAAATTCTGATTGGTTTCTGATTTGAGAAATTTCGCAATCACTTTCTTCTTTGCGGAAAGCTTTACGCGATGAAAAGGGGAACAAGGGGGAAAAAGGGGGAAAAGCTCGAAAATTCTTTTTCATAGCCTAAGCACACGAGTATAAATTCACAGCAAAATAAAAATTTTCGTTTCAAATCTTTTCAAATCCCTTTGTGCGTTCCAGGAAAAACTTTTGGATGGCAATGGGACAATACTTTTGTGGACCACTGTATCAACAATGATTCAACAACAATGATCTCGCAACCTGAGACTGATTGACTAGTAACAGGGATAAATTTATAAGAACGGCGAATGAATAGGATAACACCACCACCTCGAACTTTGATATCATTAAAGATACGGTCACAACGAATTATGGAATAGTTAGAGGCGGGGTCTAAGATAGAAGATGGAGTGTTTTCACTCAGCCAAGTCTCACAAAAGGCAAGAACATCGTAAGAGAGAGATCTGGACAAAAATTGCACGTAGCTAATTTTCGTACGAAAGAAACTTTTGGATGGCAATGGGACAATGGGACAATACTTTTGTGGACCACTGTAGATTCGCTCATTCAGATTCCCCCCTCGCGTATCTTTATTGTTTATCGGTCCCCACATGTTAACAATCAGGGCTCTTTCCATCTATTTACATTTCTTGAAGATTATTTTCTACCAAATCATCCAAATTCCCTTCTTGGCGATTTTAATTTTCCGTTAACTGTTTCTCCAGGATTTCTACCTAATTTATCGCGTTTTCCACATTTAGAAAACTTCCTGTCAGCCAACAGCTTAGAAATTTTAAACAAATTTTCTACTTTCAGGAAAAGTTCGCATATTTTAGACCTAGTTTTAACCGATTCCCTTCATTTAATTTCAGCTATTTCACCATGTCCTCCCATTGGTGGTGCCGACCATTTTTCTATGTCTTTTAATTTAATTCTGCATCATTTTTGCCTCTCTAAAAGGACCAGACGATGGTAACCGTGCCTTTTGGAGAGGAAATTTTGGTGCTGTCTGTTTTTGGAGTGGTTTCTTTAGCGCTCTACAATGCAAGGTTTCTTCTTTTTCGTTCTCCAGGTAGAATCTAAGCTTTTAGAAGATTTCTTATAACAAATTTCTTATTTTCTGAAAGCTCTTTTCAAGGGCTACACAATGGTAATATTAATATTTAGAAATACGGTAAAGACAACGGAGTTATAGTGTTATAGCGACCAGGGACCAGGGAGTTATAGCGCGAAAGTGACGATATTTTTTCAAATATGATATTTCATTGTCCAGTAGTATATGTTAAGGAGAAATTACGACCGGTTCATGTTAGAAAATATTTTCGCCTGCTACGGAATTGATGGTATCATACTACATTCATATCGCATGGGTGTCTTCAACAAGTTTAAACTCCGTCCTATGAAGGTAATCGTCGCCTTTTCGTTCTCCAGGTAGAATCTAAGCTTTTAGAAGGTTTCTTATCACAAATATTAGATAGATATTCGCTAATCGAACAAAGATTTTCGACAATCGCTCTCGAATACAAAATTAAAAGATTCTCTTAACTAATTTTTACAAAAATTTAAGCTTTTAAGAATTTATTAGAACAAAAAAATGTTTTCACAATCGAAAATTCTGATTGGTTTCTGATTAATAATAATAATAATAATACTTTATTCAAACGATAAAGTGAATGATTTGAGAAATTTCGCAATCACTTTCTTCTTTACGGAAAGTTTTGCGCGATAAAAAGGGAAACAAGGGGAAAAAGGGGAAAAGGGGCGGAAAATCCTTTTTCATAGCCTAAGCACACGAGTATAAATTCAGTTTCACACCTTCACAAGTCTCATTTTCTCAGAAATTTTTTGATTTGTTTTATAAATTCTCAATGCTTTCACCTCCATTTTGTGAAACTTTTCATCTGTTATAATATTTTTTTTACAAAGTTCAATTCTCAAGTACAATGAGTTCAAAAGTGTGTCAATGAGTTGCTGGTTCAATTGTCGTTCAATTAAACCAGCAATGTCTATTGGAATACGCTCAACTTTGAATTAAAATCTTTCAAATATTAAAACTTTCCTCGTTTCTCTCTTTTATTTAATATTTCTTTCGCAACCTCACACAAAAATTTCCCCTTTTGTACACGTTGTTTTAAGTATTCTCACGTGGATTCTTTAATCAGTTTAATTGCCCAAGTTTGAGGTGTGTCACTGCAAGAGGATCAACCGCAATGCGATGTCTCATCCACGGCCGGCAACCCTAGATGGTCGTCATGGCGGGAACAAGTGGACCGAAGTGGGACCAAATAAACGAGATGAACCATCTCATCGATCCAACTTGCGCTCACTAACCATTCGTTTCATCCTCTTTCTCCACCAAAAATAATTGTGCCATCATTCGTCTCCTCTGTTGAGTTTGCAAAACACTTAGCTCCGACTACCACATCGCTATTGATGGTCTACCCGAGGTCATCCCTTCTCGTCCCTTCTCACCTATGTTAAGGAGAAATTACGACCGGTTGATGTTAGAAAATATTTTTGCCTGCTACGGAATTAATGGTATTATACTAGATTCATATCGCATGGGTGTCTTCAACAAGTTTAAGCCCCGTCCTATGAAGGTAATCGTCGCCTCTTCACATACTGTCTCAAATGTGATCTCTTCTTCCAAAAGATTCGGATCCTGGTTTCTGCCGTGGACTTATCGATTCATTCAAATCAGGCATTCCGATCCAACAAAATTCAAGGAAGGAAATAGAGATATGCAAAAAGAAAATTTTTTTCTAAAGATGCCATGAAAAATTGCACTACGAGGAAAACAATGGATTGAAAACTCAAAACTAAAATTGATGTTGCGACACAAGTTGATAAAGAAGCTATCGAAATCGCTACAGACAAAAGGAATTTAGCCCCGTGCAACTGTTTTCACAATCGAAAATTCTGATTGGTTTTTGATTTGAGAAATTTCGCAATCACTTTCTTCTTTTCGGAAAGTTTTACGCGATGAAAAGGGGGAAAAGGGGGAAGGGCTCGAAAATCCTTTTTCATAGCCTAAGCACACGAGTATAAATTCAGTTTCACACCTTCACAAGTCTCATTTTCTCAGAAATTTTTTGATTTGTTTTTTTATAAATTTTCAATGCTTTCACCTCCATTTTGTGAAACATTTCATCTGTTATAATGTTATAAGTTCAATTCTCAAGTACAATGAGTTCTATGAGTTGCTGGTTCAATTACCGTTCAATTGAACCAGCAATGTCTATTGGAATACGCTCAACTTTGAATTAAAATCTTTCAAATATTAAAACTTTCCTCGTTTCTCTCTTTTATTTAATATTTCTTTCGCAACCCCACACAAAGATTTCCCCTTTTGTATACGTTGTTTTAAGTATTCTCACTGTTTTAAGTTTTCTCACGATTCTTTCGAACTTTCAAAAGCTAATATTTTCATAAGTTGAATATTTCAAAACTTTTCTGGGTACTTCTGCTGTTTGTCCCCCCTAACATCAGAGATTTTTCGCTGTTTTTTGGATTAATGGATTTGCAATTCAAATGCAATTTACGCATTTTTCCGCCGGCGATGTTCAAAAATTTCCGCGACCTGTGCAACTCGTTTCCGGCGCACTTCGCTATCGCTCCCGATAGGAAAAAAAACACGGGAAAGCCCCAGTCAGCGGACTCTGGTCCCACAGGTTTGCGGGCGGTCGCCTACAATGCGACCAAAGCATCGTCGACTACAGCAACCGAAGCATCGCCGCCTACTACAACCGAATCATCGCCGCCTACAGCAACCAAAGCATCACCGCGGCGACGTTCCAACAAACAAGAAAAGCTCAGTTTGGAACGTCGCTAATCTGCGTGGCTATAGCTCGCTGACCGGGGCTTCCCCGTGTTTTTTTTTCCTATCCGGAGCGATAGCGACGTGCACCGGGAACGAGTTGCACAGGTCCCACAGGAGCTTGAAACTGATGTTAAGGAGGACAAACAGCAGAACTACCATTTTCTGATATCTATCCATTTATCTACAGATATTTCTTTGTTTCATTATCAAAAAACTCTTTGTTTTTCATAATCTAAACATTTATTTATATCTATGTGATAAACAAATCACAAAAAAGCCGACCGCCAAATGAAGAGATGTACTTTCTGAGCGAAAATTGTTAACGCATCTCTTCTGGCGCACAGAAATCTTGATTTTTCTTACAGCTAATAGATTTTTTGGGGTAACTACAGTATTTTCAAATATTTAAGAGTTATTCCAGGATCCTGACAGTGCATATTTTTCTATTCAAAATTCAAGGCACTTAGGCTTAGGCTTAGGCTCAGGCTCAGGCTCAGGCTTAGGCTTAGGCTCAGGCTTAGGCTTGGACTTAGTGCGAAGGCTAGCGGCTAGCGCCTAGCACTAAGTCTATTTGGGTTTGGGCTGAAACCCCATTTTGTGGATCTCAGCCGGTTCCCGGAGCTAAGGTGCAAGCTTTTGGTGTTGTGCTTGCGCCCCCCAGAGGAGCATCCTGGCACATTTTCAGGTCGATCTCGTGTCTGTTAGACTCAGGCTTTAGCTTTCAGTTTCTAAATCATCCATATCTACATTATATTCTAGTATTCTATATTTAGATGAGTTTATTTTTCAGCTTTTTAATTCTATGCCATTATTTTCTATCGACTTATCGATATCAGCTCAAAATTTCGTACATTTCTTTTTCTGTATTCCCTTTTTTTGTTCACAATTTCCCCATCATCAAAATCGATTTTTTTTCTTCGCTTTTCCTGCCAAATTTTAATTAGAAATGTATTTTGTTTTAATCTTTTTAATATTTTTGTTATTTTTAATACTTTAGTTAATAAAATGGGAAAGAAAAAGCAAAGAGCGAATCGAAAAAAGTTGGTGTTGGCGTTTAATGGAGAAAATGGGGACTTCGAGGAAACAAAGGGAAACGAAGGAAAAGGTGGGAAAGCTTGAGATTAGTTCTTTTTGTGTACTTTGTGCTGTAAACGGACCCTTTTTGGTGCACTCAATCCTTCACTTTTCTTGAGACACCAAATTGTTGGTGAAGAATCGAGAAAAAGAAGCGTTCAGTGCACCAGAAAGTGCGCTTTAACAAAATTTGCTGCGCACAAAGTAGAGCAGGAAGTGAAAATAGGTAATTGTAAGTATAAAGCAACGAATTTCGTTCTTTAAGGTTATATTTATAATAAAATGAGCTAACTATCAGAGTAAGCTTACTAGTAGCTTACTAGTAGGCTTATAAAGCTTACTAGTAGCTTACTAGTAAGCTTATAAAGCTTAGAAAGCTTACTAGTAGCTTATTAGTAGCTTATTAGTAGGCTTATAAAGCTTACTAGTAGCTTATTAGTAGCTTATTAGTAGGCTTATAAAGCTTACTAGTAGCTGACTAGTAGCTTATTAGTAGGCTTATAAAGCTTACTAGTAGCTTATTAATAGCTTATTAGTAGGCTTATAAAGCTTACTAGTAGCTTATTAGTAGGCTTATAAAGCTTACTAGAATGGTTTTGATTCGAAAATTTCATTCAGAAGCAGCCAACGTTCCAAAAGAAGCAAGTACTTCAAGAATTTCCTCACCAATAATCCCTCCTCATCAATCAATTTCACAAATTCCGCCGCCACTTCCACCAATTCCACAAAATAATGTGAAATTATTGCCAAAAATGGAGCCAGCTGATCGAAAAGGTTTCGAGCTTGTGAGTTTTGGAAGCTGTCAAACTTACAAGGGAAGGTCAACTGTTTGCAAAAAAACCGAAATTTCTTTTGCATCAACCTAGTAGTACGGTTAAAATAGTTACAATATTTTTAGATACTTTTTTCAGGTGACTTTAAAAACAAATACATACGAAGAAATATTGGAACCGAAAAAGGAGATTTTCCGCTATGACGTCGTTGCACAAATGGTTCTTCAAGTGAGAGGTGTTGAGGAAATTGTCGATCTAACAAAAGGGCCAAGGGATGAGTGGGTTTTCGACGCATAAAGTGAGGCTAGCTCAAACTAGGCACAGCTAGATCCTCTTTTATCTAGATCCTCTTGATCTAGATCCTTTTTTATCTAGCTAGAAATTAGAAACTTAAGCTTATTTTAGACCTAAATCTATTAAGTTGGTGAATACGTCTTTTCGTTCCTTTTCACTCGCAAATAAACGCTCATATCTCTACAGCAGTACGTCGCTTTCTGCGCGCTTTGGTATCAAATTAAAGCAGAGAAGATGGGTGATTTTTTGAGATATAACACATATTTTTAGCATTAACCAGTGCTTAGAAAAAAATGATTAAAAAGTGGAAAAGAAAGACGATTTTTCATCATTTTTCAATCATTTTTTCTAAGCGTTGGTTAGTGCTAAAAATCTGTGTTATATCTTAAAAAAACACCCATTTTCTCTACTTTAATTTGATATCAAAGCGTGCCAAAACAAACGCACTGGTGTCGAGATATGAGCGGTTTTTTGAGTGTACCATAAATACTCTAATAGAAGCCCTATAGGAGTCGCATCGCCTAGTCTAAGTTTACTCTTAAACAAACGCTCATATCTCGACATCAGTACGTCGCTTTCTGTGGGCTTTGGTATCAAATTAAAGCAGAGAGAATGGGTATTTTTTTTGAGATATAACACATATTTTTAGCATTAACCAGTGCTTAGAAAAAAATGATTAAAAAGTGGAAAAGAAAGACGATTTTTCAGCATTTTCTGATGATCATTTTCTGATTTTCATGTTCTGTCCGTTTTTTTTTGGAAGACTTTCTTAAACTCAACCAATCTACACGTGTTATAGCTCATTCAAAAGCTGAATTCAAGGCGGAAAAAAAGGGAGAAAAATCGTTTTTGAATTCATATAGTTTCGAAGTTTTTACAGGCGTTTTAGTGAGCTAAGTCAGGCGGAAAAAAGTGCCAAAATTGAGTTTCGATAGTTTTTTTGTTTGACAACATAGGTTAAATACACGTTATTCGTATTCAGCGCATCAAATTACCAATCAAATTACGGTTTTTTCAGTGTACCATAAATACTCTAATAGAAGCCCTATAGGAGTCGCGTCGCCTAGTCTAAGTTTACTCTTAAAAAAACGCTCATATCTCTACAGCAGTACGTCTCTTTCTGCGCGCTTTGGTATCAAATTAAAGTAGAGAAAATGGCTATTTTTTGAGATATAACACATATTTTTAGCATTAACCAGCACTTAGAAAAAAGTGATTGAAAAAATGATTTGAAAAATCGGCTTTTTTTTCTACTTTTCAATCATTTTTTCCGTTCAATTTTGTTGAAAAATAAAAAATTCATCAATCAACCTATGATTTCTCTAAATAAAAAGTGTTTATTGTTCAATTTCCCATCTTTTTAAGTCAATTTCGGTTCAATTTCAAGCAAATTCAAGAGTGAAACGTCGTGTTTTTCATAAAAAAAAAAAAGCGATAAAAACTGCTACGAAGAAATTAGCTGAATGAATTTCTCTGAAAATTTGGTTATATACCAACTTTTTGTGCTCTTTTATCTATTTTCTATATTTCTATATTTCTATCTATTTAGAGATAGGTTTCCTTAGCTAAAGTGTCATCGCATCATCGAATCGTCACTCTTTTTGACTACCCGACTTCAGGCTCCCAAAAATATGCAGAAATGAGACATTTTTAAACCCGTTTTAATGTTATTTTACAGAAAAATAAGTGCCCTTTCTAATGAAATAAAACGTCGCACATCCGCGCGAAATAAGGCAAAAAATCGTTTTCTATAGGATTTTTACGTTTGAATAGCCGATTGGCGCAGAAAAATGTGCTGAATACGAAAATAAAAGAATTTTTGAAATCCCTTCGACAAATTTTTTAAAAATCGAGTTTTAGTGATTTTACTGTGTTAAATTTCAGCCAGATTTTATTGTCGAAGCAAAATTTTGGAAACAAAAGCCTAAAACAAAAATGTAAACCGCAAGTTTTATTCTACGGGCCTTTCTCTATCTTTTGATCCCAAAGGCATAAAAATTGATCAACCCTATAAAAAGTTATAACCTTTTGAAAATAAAAATGTGGTTCCTGGGTTATTTTATGATCAGACCTGGGGCATTTTAATTAATCTTGTTTTCAATGCTGTTCTTTCAATAAACTTTAAAATGTTATTTCAAAACGTTTAACATATACGGTTGCAAACTGTGCGCTCATTCCTTTCTTGGATTAATTCCTGTCGAGGCCTGAAAAATTCAAAAGCAAAGCATCTGTTCATAAAAAAACAACTTTACTTAAATTCGTAGACATCGACACTTCATCTTGAAAAAAAGAAAAATAGCGAAAATGGTTTGATTGTAGCAAAAAAAAGTTTAATTTTGCTCTTTTTCTCTTTCGGGTTCCGGTAATCTATCCGCGTTATAGTGTGCCATAACCCAGGAACCACATTTTTATTTTCAAAAAGTTATAACTTTTTATAGGGTTGATCAATTTTTATGCTTTTGGTATCAAAAGATAGAGAAAAGCCCGTAGAATAAAACTTGCGGTTTACATTTTTGTTTTAGGCTTTTGTTTCCAAAATTTTGCTCCGACAATAAAATATGGCTGAAATTTAACACAGTAAAATCACGAAAACTCGATTTTTAAAAAATTTGTCGAAGGGATTTCAAAAATTCTTTTATTTTCGTATTCAGCACATTTTTCTGCGTCAATCGACTATTCAAACGTAAAAATCCTATAGAAAACACATTTTCGCGCGGATGTGCGTCGTTCAACTGGTGCATTTGTTGGTTTTAAAGGAAAGTAAAAAAGGAAGCGAAAAGACTTTTCTGTAAACCTAATAGATCTAGTGTAAAAGAATTCATATTTGTCGTATCATTCTACAGTAAATTTGGATATTCACTCAATTTCAGCGGCGAGAAGACTCGCCGAAACGAATTGATTCGTTTATCGCTTCAAATGGCTCTCGAGACGTATGGAGTGATTAATGATCACTGCTTTTATGCATCCGATGACGCGGCTATTCTTTTCGCGAGTGAATGTCTCGATGAGGCGCTGAAACCGGTGAGTCTTCAAAGAATGTTTAGTCAAGATGAAACTGAAAGGTTGCTGAAAGGAAAGGTTGTTCTAAAAAGCAAGGCTGGCCAAGGGGGGAGAGGGTGGGCTGACCAAGTGTTACAGTAACCCTGTAAAGATGACCATCATCTTAGAATGATCAAGACAAAACCAGTCCAGAAGTCAGCTCCTGTCTTACAGCATATAACGAAAAGTATAAGGATTTGTCATTTAACAACAGAGTTATAGCTACTCTTAGCCATAGACTCTAGGATCGCAGTTCTGCATTCTGGTAATCTAGCGTAAACTTTCTGATCTAGCGCATAATTTGCAGAAAGCTTGTATCAACTTTTCCATTTTCAGTACCACAGCATTCTGACGGTGAAATTCGAGCTGTTACCGGCGCGAGCTCGTCAATTGTTGCAATCGCTTCGACCCGACGATGCGCCCGATGTGCAAATAGTCATTCAACCGTGCATGTAAGTGAAAATCATATCAAATTTATCTAGAAAACTACCGTTATCATTCGAATTCAGTATTCAAATACCCTTCTGTACCATTCCTGAAAGTTTTTCTAAGTCTAAGCCAACAGTTCTGATGCTAGCATGCTTGGATTTCTTGGTTTTAGCACAAGATTCTTAAATCTGATTCTAGATTGAGATCTGGAAAAGTGCCAAATTGATCTGGATCTGGAAAAGTGCCTAATTTTGCCTGCCTAATTTTGTAGCAACCAGAGATGATTTTTCCAGGCTAGGCCAGTTCAGGGTCTAGGCCAGACCAGAGCCAAATCTAGACAAGACTTGCCAGAGTCAGGCTCTACTTTAGGGTAGACTTTGGCCCTCAAACTGCATCAAACCAAGCATCAAAGATCAAAGCCTGATCTGGCTTTGATCTTTGATGGCTTTGATCCTAAGTTTATACCATATCTTGTACATTTGGGTGACGTTTAAAGCTAGACCTAACTAAGTTAGACCTTTGTTACCTTTGTTAGAGTAACTCCAACGTCAGCCTAGATTGCCAGCCTAGATGAAGTGCTTTAGCCAGCCATTAGTTCCCGTTTTAGCTGACTAAGCTGGCTTTAGAAATAGATTACGGTATCTTAGCTGCAAATTGTTACATAGCAGAGCAAACAGAGTCCCGCATTCCAGGGCCTCGGCGGCTCGCTTCACTCTCGGTGACGCGCTGGACAATGTGAAGAGAGGAGGCGATGATCGACCATTGCGACAATTTCTCGAATTGCTCACTTCACAAGGAGGCATTAATAAGTAATTTATAATTTTATATATCTAAATATCTATGGTAACCACTAAATTTCAGCGGCAAGTACACCTTTTTCGGCAATGGAAAAGCTTTCGCCAATAAAGAGGGTGAAAGAAGATCAATTCCAGGGACAGGACATGAACGGAGAGACGGCATTACAAAGGTTTTTTGAAAAACAATTTACTAGTTTAGATTTATAAGTACTGTGTTATCGTATACTATGTTTTATTATATGTTTTATTATAGTGTTTAAATGCAAATTTCCCAGGGTCAACGCTTCATCGAGGGCGAGGAAAGGTGCGGTCTCGTTGCCGCTCTTGTGCTTGATGGTAGATTTTAAAAATTAGTTTCCACTTGTCTAATCCGTTTTCTAAAAGGCACCTATCGTAACCACCTCTGGCCAGTTTGCATTCAATTAGTTCAATTTTTGCATCGTTTAATGAGGAAATCACAATGAGACCAAAACTGGGCTGATCGAATGGAAAGTAAACGGTTGGATTACGGTAGTTCTCGAAAATGGATGCTTTCTAGAAAACAGAGGTATTTATTAAAGGTTATCGTACATTTGATACGCGCCCCGTCCCTTTTGCCATTGGCAATTCGACTTTGGGCTCAAATATCTTGGTGCTGAGCTGTCTAATTTAAATCTTCTTGGTATCATTAGATGCGTCAAGTCTTTCTCTGTTGATTGGTCCAAAAACTATTTAAATTGGACAATCCAAAGCCAAGATATCGGAGTTCAAAGTTAGCCAATGGCAAAGGGGGCGGGGTGACCAACCTTTTATACGCGCCCCTCCCCCTTTGCCATTGGCTAACTTTGAGCTCAAACCTCTTGGCTTTGGATTGTCCAATTGAAATAGTTTTTTGGACCAATCAACAGAGAAAGACTTGACGCATCTAATGATACCAAGAATATTTAAATTCGACAGCCGAACACCAAGATATTTGAGTTCAAAGTTAGATTGCCAATGGCAAAGGGGGCGGGGCGTGTATCAAATGTCCTACAATCTTTATTAAACGCTTTTTCAGCAAAAGTCGGCACATTCTACCAGAGCAAATGCGTGATTGACACAGTGATGGAGATCAACGAATGGATGAAGCCACAAGATGTTTTTTGGGATCGAAATGCGTTGAAGAGAACAAACGAGTATTTACAGGGTACGTCAAATGGTTTTCGACGTTTTCTTTCGTTTTCGACGACGTTTAGCTTTCTTGCGGTAGACTATCAGTTATTTACTTCTCGTTTCTTAATCAGCAACAAATAGTCGATAACCTGACCTGGCCTGGCCTTACTTTTGATATTTTCTTTTGTGTAGCAGTCTTATACTAGTAGTAAAGTACTACTTCCTCTTCCCAAATATCGTAAATTTGCGTCTTTTAAGTAAGGTGCCTTTCCAGTAAGTTGCCCAGGATTTTGCGACCGATTTGAGCGGGTTTTGCTCTGAAATAAAGGGATTTTATTATTGCCTTTTATTATTGATTATTGCCAATTTTCTAATGAAGTGGGATATTTCAAAGTTTGGAATCGTTAAGATATTGTAAAGTCTCAGTATTCTGATGGCTACAGTATTCCAAAAGAAAACTAGCAGCCAAATTTTCTGCAAATGAAAGCATATTCGCGGTTTGAGGGTTTTCCAACAAATGGAGGCTACAAGCGGGATGTTCCAGGGCCAATAAGCTGGACCAGAGCTGGATCAAGGTCTGGCCAAGCCTACTCCTTGCCTCGGCTTCTGGCTTTTCCGTCCAGGACAGTCCAGCACCATGTCAGGACAGAGATCAGAAGACAGCTCGCCTGAGGCTAGTGCAAGTCCGGCTTCTAAGCTGACTTTTTTGTTTCCAAGCCTGCAGCAAGGACAGCATTCAAGCCTGTTTGGCTTAGAATTGCTGCAAAAATTGGCTTTGAAACAACCCAGGCCCATGTCCAAGCTACCAAAGTCATTTCAGATCTTCTCGCTTTTCTTTCTTATCTCCAAGTCACCTAGTCGCTATTACAGCAGTAAAAACTATTGGGTTACTGTAATTTTTATCATCAAATCTTACTTCCATCAATCGCCTCTTTATCTAGAAACTATCATGCTCGATTTGACAAAAGTCAAAAGCGATCAATCTTTAAAAGGTATTCAGTGAGATTCGGAAAAGATTTTACTTTGTAACTAATCTTTATTTGCGCCTGCTTTGTAAGCACACTCTTAATCCTCGATTTTCTTGAGAAAACAAGCCGTCGCTGTGAGCGAAATGAAGAATTTAGTGTGCCAGAAAGGGTGTGCTTGCACTTAAGCACAAACTACGTTCCATCGTTTACAAGGTGAGCACAAAGTACGCAAGATCATCGATTATAGATTTTCTAACCGAGACTATTGCTAGCTTATCTAGACTATCTAGACCGAGCCTATTTTTCAGGTGTCCGCGTTCGAATCGATCACCAAGGAATGGACCGGGGAACGTTCAAATGCTCGGGATTGGCTTTAACGGATGAAACGATATTCATCGATGCTGAGAACTACATTGAGAAAACGGCGACAACGATGGCTGCGTCGTGGAAAGAAAGAGGGAAACCGCTCAGGTGAGTGGCTTGACACATTCTCGACAATACGGCCTATTGGTGGGTCGTACCAATGACGATCCTGAGCGTAAGAGTTTAATAGAACTTTCTTGCCAACCTAACAGTTATTCCAACAATATCAAAGCTAAAATTAAACAATCCATCGCACAAAGCAGCTATTAAAGTTTAAAAACATTATTAAAGCTTAAAAACAAAGCACCTTAGCTGATTAGGCGTTGTTAATCCTGTGAGGCGTCTCGTTTGTCGATTGTGGTGATCGATCCTTAGCACCTTCTTAAAATATACAATAATATCATTGAAATAAAACCCTATAGTAACTATTCTAACAATATCAAAGCTAAAATTAAACAATTCATCGCACAAAGCAGCTATTAAAGCTTAAAAACATCATTAAAGTTTAAAAACAAAGCACCTTAGCTGATTAGGCGTTGTTGATCCTGTGAGGCGTCTCATTTGTCGATTGTGATGATCGATCTTTTGCACCTTTCTCTCGGACGACTTCCTAAATCAAAGCATTAAATAAAATCAAGAAATAGAAAAAAAAACAAATGAAAAAACAATAAATTCTACATTTCCAAGTCAAATTCGCTACAAAATCGAATTTTAAAGGGCAATTTAAGCACTTGTCAACCACCGATTTGTTTATTTAGGTGTATTAAAGTATTTTCTACTTGAAAAAAAGAACAAGAACCCTATAAAAACAGAAGAGAAATATAAGCAAACCGAGGAAGAATTGGATGGAACTCAAAAAAAGCCAAAAGTTGGGCGCTTGGACACAGTTTTTTGGCGCTTTTTAGCTTTAGCTTAGCTTAGCTCCCAAAAATCCGACTAGTAAATGAGCATTTCAGATACCCAAAATGGCCTCTTGTCATCCAAACGCTTCCACAACATTTGAAGGGTCAAGCGCAGAATGTGATGCATGCAATGGAGCATCTGATCATCTGTGAGAATCAACGTGTCCCCAAGCACAAGGCACTTGCTTTACCGGTTAGTACGGAACTCGAGTCCACCATTTTTGATATGTAAATCATAGACTTTTATGCAAATTTAAAGAAAAGGTAAAAAATTTCGGCAAGGGGAAAATAGTGACTTCTAGTGGGTCCAATTTTCGTAATCGAGATCGAACCATCTACCTTTAAAACCTTAACTAATTTTGCTAAACATTTGGCTAAGATGCACTGAAGGCTCAGGCTCAGGCTTAGGCTTGGACTTAGTGCGTAGGCTAGCGGCTAGCGCCTAGCACTAAGTCTCTTTGGGTTTGGGCTGAACCCCCATTTTCTGGATCTCAGCCAGTTCCCGGATTAGGCTTAGGTTTAGGCTTAGGCTTAGGCCCAGACTCAGACTCAGACTCAGGCTCAGGTTTTTATCACATAAACGATCTTTAGAGGAAAGAGAAGAGACTCAGAGATATTCAAAATCAAAGCATCAAATAAGCTTTCACAGAAGAAAGAGCTACTTTTCTGCACACGGTATACTGTAGCTAGGTCACGAAAAATCCGCAGTTCTTCAATGCAAATTGCTAGTCTAGATTTATATCTAGATCTAGAACCAAGTTTTGATCTATAAATGGTAATTTACTCTTATGCAAATTGATAGAAAGGAAAAATTCTTGATTATTGAAAAGAATTTCATTGAAATTATTGAAATTATTGAAATATTATTGAAAAAGCATTGAAAAAGCATTGTAAAATTTCAGGAGAAAGCCACGAAGCCGGATTTGCGTTTCCGGGATATTGACAAACACTTGAATGCGCTCGATTTAGCTGCCGATCCGAAGAGGATTTTGCAGAGGTTTGGAAGTAATAAAATAAGATCGAATTTTAATAATATATCAATTAAAAGAAATTCAATTATATAACAATAAAAAGAAAAGGATAAAAGAGAAAAAAAAGCAACAAAAGGGGAGTGGGACGAATGCGACCTTTTTTTGCGCACCCGGACATTTCCGCACCTTTTTTTCCGCACCTTGCCCATTAGCGCACCTTTTTTCGCGTTTTAAAAAGCTCTAAAAAGCTAATATTAACCAATTTCTATTCCAAATGTTGTTTTTCTAGGTAATTTTAGGGCGTAGAATCGAAATTTTGACATATCAGAGCTTGTGGAAACAAACGGACGGAGTTATACAAAGAGAAAAATCGACAATTTGTAAATCAACAATTTTCTGTAATTTGATCTAGCCGTTTTGTCTTTCAAATTGGTTCCAAACGCTATGTTATGTCAAAATTTCGATTCTACGTCCTAAAATTACCCTAAAGTCGCGAGTATAAGTTCTGTTTGGTTTTCGCATGCAAATTGACGGCTGTCATGCAAATTGACGGTGTGTCGAGGGTTCGAATCCCGCTGCAGCATGCTTTTTAAGAACAATAATAGAAGTAAATTTATTGAGGGTTATAGCAATTTTATGCTGTTATTTGTTGCTCCGGGCGTGGCTCGGCTCTGGCCCTGGCCGTGGCTCGGCGCGTCCGCCCTGATCCTCTCCGGTGCTCAGTCTTATGGATCCCTCCATGGCATCTTCATCCGGCCAAAGTCCACGTCGACGGTCGAAAGAGATGCTTTCCAGCGTCTTCTTCAACACTATCGTCTGGATGTATCCATGCACATAACAAATAGCAATGGTGATAGGCTGTCACCCTGTAGTATCCCGCGCTCCAAGAACAATAATAAAAGTTTATATAGCAATAAAAATGTATAAAAACCCAACAAAAAGAAATTCAAAGCAATTAAAGCGACATAAAAAAGAATTCTCTGTTTAGCTTCGAAACTGTTTCATCCGTCAAAGCTCTTCGAAATCCATTGATAATGAAAGAAGAGGGGACCGCATCGAAACTTTTCCTTACCCATTCCGCAACTGTCTCGTAGCTCGCTCTCTTTTTTCGTCCCGACAGGGTAAATTGGTCGTTTCGGCTATCGGACATCCATTCTTCCCAGTGAGCTTTAGATTGTCCTTGAATGGCTTATTGACGCTGATGTCAAGCGGTTATAGAAATCGAGTTAGCCCTCCTGAAATCACAGCCAGCTTCGAGTGTTGCTGAATTTCAGCCTTGACATTATCGGTTAAGTGACAGCGAGCTGAGTCCAACACGAGCACTGATTCTTCGGATTTGGCCACCGGATTTGCTCTTCGCAACCAAATTTCAATCTTGATGGCTTCTCGTTTCATTGCCGGTCCATTTACAGCTCGTTGTTTTGATCGCCTCTCCAGAACCCATGCCTTCAGATCTTTCTCCACATCCGGCCATTTTGCCCTCAATCCTCGGAAAGCTCGATTATTCTTTGGTGAAGTCATCAGTGCCGGCTCAGCTTGTTTCCAGCGGTTAATCATCTGTTCGGCGACTTCAAATTCGATCGCAGCCGCGTTCGTTCCAAATTTCCTCGCAAATTTGACCGCTTCGAGCTTCGTTTCGGCGGTGTACGACTTTCTCCTCATCGTATCTAAAATGAACAAACGTTAGTAAAATAAAAAATAAAAAAAACAAAAAAACAATAAAAATTAAAGAAAGAAGAAAATTTTCCCTTTAAATGCCCTTTAAATGTAAATTACAGAATTTATACTCGGATGAACTTATACTCGCGACTTTAGGGTACTTAGAAAAATAGAAAAACAACTTTTGGAATAGAAATTGGTTAATATTAGCTTTTTAGAGCTTTTTTAAAACGCGAAAAAAGGTGCGCTAATGGGCAAGGTGCGGAAAAAAAGGTGCGCAAATGTCCGGGTGCGCAAAAAAAAGGTCACATTCGTCCCACTCCCAAAAAAAGCAAAAAAGCAAAAGAAACCTTTCAGTTTCGGTTTAAAACTGAATCCCAAACCGATCGAGGTGATCGCTTTTCGGCGAAAACCTCCCACAGTGCTCTATCAACGACAAAATGCGATTGTTGACGAGAAAAAGGTGAATATTTAGCTGAATTTGAAGCTAAATAGCTGGATATTTAACTGAATATCTTTATTTGATTAGCTGAATGACTTTAGTTAGAAAAAAAATTGATTTTTATGATTCCAATTTGTTTTTTTTCAGGCTTCACTACTGTAATCTTGTCTCATTTTTATCCCTATTTTTTATCCAATATTTACTTCTACTTTACTCCTTCAAAGATCTAATTAAATTAATCTGAAGATCAACAAATCCTCTAGTTGGTCCACTAGTAATCAAAGAAAAGCGAAAGCTTTCGAAATTGAATCAAAAATTGAAAGGAAACCTGTTTCTTCGAAAAACAGCAAGTCTTTCTTCTTCTATTTAAATTCTAAAACAAAAAAGATCCAAAGATAGTCCCCAATTCTTTCGTTGACCCCTTAGACAGTAGGAAACTTATTTCCAATCTCAGTACAATCGTATATATATGTTGTGTCCGATTTAGATTTCCGTCCGATTTAGATTCAATCTAAATCGGACGTCTTATATAGATTGAACAATAATATAAACATGCTTAATATATGTTCTTAAGCGTTTTCTGTAGTTTTCTGCATTTTTCAAAGGTCTTTTATTGATTACAGTCTATATCGGACGTCCGATACAGATCGAACAATAATAAACGTGCTTAATATATGTTCTTAAGCGTTTTTTTGCAATTTTCTGCGCTTTTCAAAGAATTCAAGATGTCACAATAGCATGTTCAAGATGCCACAAAGAATTCAAGATGTCACAATGTCACAACTCTGCAATTCAAGATGTCACAATAGCCTAAGCTGCAAAAATAAATAGAAATTTTTAACTCGTTCGTTGTTGTTGTTGGTTTTTTGTTGTTGTGTGTTGTAATTTCGCATCTATTCTGTTAATTTGTTGTTGTTGTTAATGTTAATTAATAGATTGTTTCATAGTTGGGTTTTCTTTTCAGAAAAAGACAGTAAAAGACCTTTGAAAAATGCAGAAAACTACAGAAAACGCTTAAGAACATGTATTAAGCATGTTTATATTATTGTTCAATCTATACAAGACGTATTATTGTTCAATCTATATAAGATTTAGATTGAATCTAAATCGGACGTCCGATATAGACTGTAATCTAAATCGGACGTCCGCGATAAGTTCAATCTAAATCGGACGGAAATCTAAATCGGACACAACATATATAATATTATGCATAAGAAATGCGGATTACAACATTTTCATAAATTTCCAACGATAGAAAACTGATATCGATGAATGTTATGAACTATTTGAATGTTACTATTTGAATGTTACTATTTGAATGTTACTATTTGAATGTTACTATTTGAATGTTACTATTTGAAAGTTGTAAATCTCCTCTACAAAATAGGCTAAAGCGTGTTTCAATTGATCGAACCATTGAAGAAATTTCGAGGCCGAAATGCGAGTGACAAAAAAGGGCAAAAAAGGAATCGAGTCACTTTAGGGACAAGTTTAGTGTGGTCAAAATAGAGTTTAGCTTCCCAAAATTGAAGATTTAAAAAAGAAAGGATAACTATATATGAATTCATTAAAAAAGTCTAACGGAAATGCATTTACAGAAATTTAGATAGAGCGTAATTCCAAAACCCTCAAAATTATCAAAAAACCGGCTTTTTTACAAAAAAGAAAAATTATTGAAAAAACAAAGTTTTCCCGATGAAATGATCCCAACTCTTAATTATTTTGAATGATATTTTTAAATGATATTTTTGGGGCGATCATTCCCCACTATATAGTCAAAACCAAACTCTTGTGAAAGTGGGGTTTTGACTAGACTAAACTAAAGTGACTCGATTCCTTTTTTGCCCTTTTTTCGTCACTCGCATTTCGGCCTCGAAATTTCTTCAATGGTTCGATCAATTAAAACACGTTTTAGCCTATTTTGTAGAGGAGATTTGCAACTTTCAAATAGTAACATTCAAATAGTAACATTCAAATAGTAACATTCAAATAGTAACATTCAAATAGTAACATTCAAATAGTAACATTCAAATAGTAACATTCAAATAGTAACATTCAAATAGTAACATTCAAATAGTAACATTCAAATAGTAACATTCAAATAGTTCATAACATTCATCGATATCAATTTTCTATCGTTGGAAATTTATGAAAATGTTGAAATCCGCATTTTTTATGCATTTACCTAATATTATATACAGGGTGGCTGATAATTACGTGCGCCAAAGAAAACGCCATAATTTAATTTTCTTTCAAAGAAAATGTAAAAATCTTTATTTATATAATAGTTGTAACAAAAGCATTTAATAATCACAAGAAATTTTTGAAGTGACCTCCATCCGCTTTGATACAGGCTTCAATTTGCTTCTTTACAGAATCGACGGTGCGGCGGAGATAATTTGCATCTAAGTCGTTCCAGATTTTGATCAATTCTCGACGTAAATCATTCAAATTGGTGATTTTTCTATTTCTCAATTGTTCTTCCATAAAACCCCAAACCGAAAAGTCCAACGGATTGAGATCCGGGCTGTTTGCAGGCCATTGATCCTTCGCAAAAAAGAGCCAATTTTGGTTTCGAGAAAGGAATTGTTGTTTTGGCCCGTGGGCCGGCGCCCAATCTTGTTGAAGGGTCAAATTGGGATGGCCCTCTTCCATGGCACCACAGCTTCTCGAGAATCTCTTTTTGATAGACTTTTGCGTTAATCTTCACATTTTTATCGATAAAAACCAACGGGGTCTTGCCCGAAGCACTGATGCCACCCCAAACCTTTTGGAAACAGACCTTTTGTAGCGACTTTTCGTTTACGAGTGCTCTTGAGAGCTGGACTGAGAAGTTGACGGTGATTTTGTGAGTTTTTAGCCACTTCCAAGGTGAAAATCTTCTCATCTGACCAAAGAACACGTCAATGCGCCGCACCTTGAAAAAGCTCGCAATTTCTTGCATTTCTCCTTCCGGTTTTCCTTGGCTTGATCGGTGAGCACTTGCCCGTTTAACAGTCGATAACTTCGAAGTCCGAGCTCATTTTCACTATCGATTGAACCGAGAAACGCGAAATTTGAAGCTGTTTTGCCATCTTGTTCAAACTACGATCGTCTTTTCGCTCGACCTCCTCTTGATGATCCCACGCACTTCGGGTGTTAACGGTCCTCTTTGGTCCTCTTCCGGGCTTGGACTGAACATGCCCCTCATCTTTCCATTGCTTTACGATCTTCTGGACGGTCCTCAGAGCCACCCCAAGCCTCGATGCGATCGACGAGTTCTTCATGCCACTCGTCGCCAGCTGTGCGATTGCGTCCCGACTAGCGCACGTCTTTGTCATGACCTAGAAAACAACTTTTTTAACAAAAAATTATTAGACCACGATAAAAAGAATATTAAAACACAAAAAGATGAGTAGTAATGCTTTATACATTGTTTAAAACTATGATGCTGATGCTGCGCGCACGTAATTGTCAGCCACCCTGTATATACGATTGTACTGAGATTGGAAATAAGTTTCCTACTGTCTAAGGGGTCAACGAAAGAATTGGAGACTATCTTTGGATCTTTTTTTGTTTTAGAATTTAAATAGAAGAAGAAAGACTTGCTGTTTTTCGAAGAAACAGAAACAGAAAAATGTTGAAATCCGAATTTCTTATGCATTTACCTAATATATTAGGTTGATGCATAAGTGTTTTTGTTCCTTTTCGTGTGCCGTTTCAAGCCAACAAATGCACCAATTAAACTACGGTTGATTTCATTAGAAAAAGCAATTATTTTTCTGCAAAATAACATTAAAACGGGTTTAAAAATATTTAATGCCTGGATTTTCTTGAGAGTATGAAGTCGGGTAGTCAAAAAGGGCTAACTCGATGATGCGGTTTAGACACCTTAGCTAAAGATGCGGTTTAGACACCTTAGCTAAAGATGCGGTTTAGACACCTTAGCTAAAGAAAACCTATCTTCGTGTCAATAGATAAAAGATAGAGAAAAAAAACGTTTGATATTTCGCCAAAATTTCAGAGAAATTCATTCAGCCAATTTTTCCGTAGAGTTTTTTATAGATTTTTACGAAAAAGGCGTTTTTCACTCTCGAATTTGCTTGAAAGTGAACCGAAATTCATTTAAAAAGATGCAAATTCAACAAAAAAACACTTTTTATTTAGAGAAAAGCATAGGTTAATTGGTGAATTTGTTACTTTTTAACAGAAGTACGAAAAAAACGAAAAGACTTATGCGTCAACCTATTATCTCCTTTTTCTCTGATTTTTTTCATTTCAATTCATTCATTTCATTTCAATATCAAAAAAGAGATCGAAAGATACAAAAAGAAAATAAATTTGATAAAATTAGAGACAAGATTACGGTAGTTTTTCGATTTTTCGAAAATTCGTAAGTTTTAGGAAAGCATAATTTTCCAACCTTTAGGCTTCGTGGATGTCAAAGAGAAATCGTTACGCGATCGCTTCCCGAATCGGTTTTGTTTCGATTTGTTGGTGTCCGGAGAGGGAAATGCAGAAAGGAATCACGAAAGAGATGGCAAAAGAGCTCACACAGAAGCTGACGCAAGAAGCACCATTGAAAGGAATCATTTTTGATAAGGTAATCATTTCAATAGCCTATCATTCAAGCCTATCGTTCAAGCCTATCATTCAAGCCTATCATTCAAGCCTATCATTCAAGCCTATCGCATTCTATAAATTTAGATCGAACTCAGCTCCGATCCGGTCAATCTGCGAAATGTTTTCGGGAAATCCGACCAGCCCGGTGATGCCATTTTTCATAGGGCAAAACAGTGGCAAGATCGCGCGAACACAGTAAAAACTGGAGAAAAGATGGAGCGACGCTTGGCAATGATCATTTACATTGACAGCAACGAGGTGGACTCGCATCGGACGCTGAAATTGGCGGAAACACGTTTTCAAGTGATCACACAACACATCAACACAAGGGTTTGCTTTTAGAAAACTCCGAATTAGGCATCTTTTTAAACTTTTAGGCTCGGTAATGCTAATCGATTTTGTTCCGAAATTTTAAAGTTGTTTTCCTCAAAAACTAGCGATCCTTATCAAAATCCGAAAGCACCATCGTACTCGCCGTATTTCATCGTACTTACTCCCAAGAAACGCACACTTTAGTCCCGACAAGAAAACAGTTTTTATAGAGCATGACTTTGACTTTGACTTTGAATCTGTTTCGTTGTCGGAACCGAAATGTGTTCCTTGCGAGTGCGAGTCCAAGAGCAAACGGTCGAGTTTGCAAAGGTCAAGAACGATTTTCACTAATATTAGGTTGAAGAAAAAGTGCTGCGTCTGAAAAGTCTGCTCTGCTGAAAGTCTGCTGAAAGTCTGCTGAAAGCTGTTGAAAGTCTGCCGAAAAGTCTGCTGAAAGTCTGCTGAAAGTCTGATGAACAGTCTGCTGAAAGTCTGCTGAAAGTCTGCTGAAAGCTGCTGAAAGTCTGCCGAAAAGTCTGCTGAAAGCCTGATGAATAGTCTGCTGAAAGTCTGCTGAAAGTCTGCTGAAAAGTTTGCTGAAATTCTGCTGAAAGCCTGCTGAAAGTCTCCCGAAAAGTCTGCTGAAAGTCTGCTCTCTGAAAGCTGCTGAAAGTCTGCTGAAAGTCTGATGAACAGTCTGCTGAAAGTCTGCTCTCTGAAAGCTGCTGAAAGTCTGCTGAAAGTCTGCCGAAAAGTCTGCTGAAAGCCTGATGAACAGTCTGCTGAAAGTCTGCTGAAAGCCTGCCGAAAAGTCTGCTGAAAGGTCTGCTGAAAGTCTGCCGAAAAGTCGAAAAGTCTGACTCAGCTGCGAAAAATTCAATTTTTTAGGGCATTTTATGTTGGTTTTTCGCGCTTAGAATCAATCTTTATCTTTGTATTCCAAATGAGTTTGTAAGAAAAAGAGAGAAGATATTCAGCTCTAAATTTGTATCCGGGGGATTTTCGGGATCGGGGAATCGATTAGAGATCTTCTTTTCATTGAGGCCGGATTTTTATCCGATATTTTGGGACCTCCGGTTACTCTATTGGTCTGCATCAGAATCGTTTTTTAGAATCAAAATCGCTAAGCTGGTTTTCAATCAGTTTCAGAAGTAACAAATTCATATGACTGCTGGCAGATCTGTTTTCTGCTTATCACCATCACGTATCAAGTAGTTCCCCATAAAAAGCAATTCAATTTCAGACGATCAAAACCGCGACGAGTTCCACAATCGAGAACCTCTTGGCAAAGCTGAACATGAAGACGGGAGGGTTGAATCACCACGTGAATCCACAGATTGCCGCGTTTGTTTTAAAGGCTTACTGTGAGAATTGATGATCAAAGTTCTTCCAAACGGTTTTCCGGGAAGAAACCAGGGCTTGGGCCAATTCTTGGACCAGTTCTTGGACCAGTTCTGGCCCGGTTCAACCAGTTTTAGGTCCATCAAGCCTTACCAGGGAACCCCATGAGGTTAAATTTCAGGTTCAGGTTAAATTTCGATCTGATTCCGAGGTGCAAACACCTCCTGGTCAATGGCATCAGCATCAAACTGCTTTCAAATTCTACATAAGACATTTTCGAGATAAAAGCCTTCAGAGATCGCTCCTGAAATCTAATTTCTAGGAGTTTCCTGGTTCAAAAAGCAGACCCGGAGGTCAGGCCCAGGTCAGGCCCAGGCCAGGCCCAGAACAGGCCCAGACCAGGTCCAGAACAGGCCCAGATCAGGCCCAGATCAGGCCCAGATCAGGCTCACATCAGGCCCAGATCAGGCCCAGGAGTTTGGCCTGGCCGGTACTCTGGGCTGAGCCTTGACTAGTCCTTACTACCAGACCAGCCCTTGACCTTACTCATAGGCCAGGTCATGCTTTCAGCTACTTTGTAGATAAAGCAGACAAGATTAGTTTACGGTAGCTATGCGCTGACATGTCTGCAATATAGTACCTTCTTTTAAACCTTCTATAGTACAGAATTCGTTCATCTAATAAATGTAGTAGATCTAATCAAACGCAGCACGAGGTATCTCAAAATGTTTTCCAAAATGACTTTAGAAAGCTTCTCTGGGAGGCTCGGACATTGATTATTGGTATGGATGTAGCACATCCAACTGGTGGAATCACCGTACAAGACAGAGCACTCGGCAACTTCAATAGAGAACCGTCTGTTGTTGGGGTAAAAAAAAGATTCTTTTTAGAAAATTGAGCTTTAAAAGCGTGGCTACCGTATTCCGAATGGCTACCGTGTTCCATAAATCTTAGAATTCACAGTAGCCCAATTTTACAATAGCATCTAGACTCCATCTTTCAGTTCTCAGCCAATTGCACGGCGAATCGTGAGGCGTTTATCGGCGATTTTTGCTTTCATGTGCCAAAACGGGAAAAGGTGATTTTTAGAAAACTGAAAGACTAGGGTAGCTGCAAAAAGAGCTGCGCTAGCTTTCTAGCTGCACTTAGAAAGTGAACTATAACTGCTTTGTTCCTAAGCTAAAGCTCTAGATCGATGACCTGATTCTAAACGAGCGTTTGAAATGGATTCTTACAATGTGGCAAGCGAAAAGGAGCGAACAATTGCCGGAAACGATTTTTATTTTACGAGATGGTGTCAGCGATGGACAATATGATATGGTTAGCTAAGAATCGGCAAAATTTTGAAATCTCTTTTTCTAGGTGGTTCGTGATGAAGTCGGAGCTCTGCGAGAGGCATGTGATGAGTATCTTCACGGGTATAACCCGAAATTCGTCGTTATCATATGCACGAAACGGCATAATAAGAGGTACACTGGACTTCTTCAAGATTCAAACAGAAAACGCTGACTGTTTTCGTGTTTTCCACTGGGAAGGTCCATGTTTTCCATCCAATCTAAGCCCCGCTCCTTTTTGCCAATGACTGCGCACAGACGGACGGACAGACGTCGCTTCTGCTTTATAACAATAGATTGTAAATGCCCATTCTTGGTCTCACTAAATTAGGCAGTGTTGTGCTTAAACTAGGATCAAGTGCAGGTTCAGATCCGGGTCAAAGTCATGGCCTAGATTCAGGCGCAAGTCCAGATCCGGGTCAAAGCCATGGTCTAGATTCAGGCGCAAGTCCAGATCCGGGTCAAAGCCATGGCCTAGATTCAGGCGCAAGTCCAGATCCGGGTCAAAGCCATGGTCTAGGTTCAGGCACAAGTCCAGATCCGGGTCAAAGCCATGGCCTAGATTCAGGGGCAAGTCCAGATCCAGAACCAAAGATAAGACCAGAACCAGAGTTCGACCAGAGTCAGAACATGTTCAGAGACCTGGTCCAGAATCAAGTCTAGTTTCAGGCCCAGGTCCAGGCCAGGGTCACGGTCTAGGTCAGGATCAGAACCAGCTTCGGATCCAGGTCCAAGTCAAGGGCAAGGTCTAGGTTCAAGGCCAAGGTCAAGGTCAAGGTCAAGGCCAAGGTTCAGAACCAGAGCCAGGCCTAGGTCGGGTAATAGCCTGGCCAAGAGTCAGGACTAGGTTCAGGTTCAGGCCAAGACCACGGTCGGATCAAGTTCTGGGTCGAGGTCCAGGTCAAGCTCTAGATCAGATACAGGACCAGAGCCAGGTTCAAATCAAAGCCATAACCAAGTGCCAGGTATGGCCTTGTTTAACTGATCTTGGCCCGTTTGGTATACCTCTATTTCCAGATTCGCCAAAATCGAGAAATCGGCTCAGAATTGGGCAATCAGCAATCCGGACGCGTTAACAGTTGTCGATCGGAATGTCGTGCGAACGGATTTGACCGAGATTTTCATACAAAGCCACCATCCACCACTGGTACAGCACTTGCTTGAAAATTCGAAATGCAATTTGCAAAGCAACCCAAGCAAAATCCATTCAGGGAACAGCGAAACCGACCGAGTACGAGGTTTTGTTATCGGATTTGTCACCGAAAGAGTTCACGCAGAATGTTATCCAAGATTTCATTCTTGCACTCTGTTTTGGACATCAAGTGAGTTTTGTGGAAAGATTTTAAAATCGAATTGAGCTCTTTAGATAAGCGGCCGATCGATCTCGATCCCAGAACCCGTTTTCCAGGCGGATGAATGGGCGAAACGGGGAGCCGATTTGTGGAAAGCGTATCAGTGAGTGTTTTTTATGAATCCCAAACACAGAATACCAGAAAAGTACAAGACTGTTAGTACAAGACTGTTAGTACAAGACTGTTAGTACAAGACTGTTAGTACAAGACTGTTAGTACAAGACTGTTAGTACAAGACTGTTAGTACAAGACTGTTAGTACAAGACTGTTAGTACAAGACTGTTAGTACAAGACTGTTAGTACAAGACTGTTAGTACAAGACTGTTAGTACAAGACTGTTAGTACAAGACTTTCAACTACAATACTTTTAAGTACAAGACTTTTAAGTACAGTGCCAGATATGCATTCAATTCTTATAGATCTGATACTAATAGCCAGTCTAGTACAATACAATAATTGTCTAGTACAATAATTGTACAATGGTCTAGTACAATAATTGTACAATGGCCTAGTACAATAATTGTACAATGATCTAGTACAATAACTGTACAATAGTCTAGTACAATAGTCGCTTTGGTCGCACAGCTACAGGGCACAGCTACAGGGCACAGCTACAGGGCACAGCTACAGGGCACAGCTACAGGGCACAGCTACAGGGCACAGCTACAGGGCACAGCTACAGGGCACACTTTTTTTGGGGCTTCCCTTTTGGGGCTTTTTTATCAGACTCAAAAGCCAGCCTAGATAAGGCTAGGGCTGTGTCGGAGTTTTGGTTTGGACTGTGGAGTATCTGACCCTGACTTGATACTGGCTCTCGTCTGGACTGATCCCAGGCTTATGATTCTAGCCTTTGGGCAGGCTTAAGCTCTAATTTGGGTAAATCTAGACCTAAAACTCTGCTGCATTTTCGATCTAGTACTTCAATTATTGTACTAGACTTTGTATAATTATTGTACTAGACTATTGTACAGTTATTGAACTAGACTATTGTACAGTCATTGTACTAGACCATTGTACAATTATTGTACTAGACAATTATTGTATTATACTAGACTGGCTATTGTCCGCATTATATTGAACATCCTGTATACTTAATTACAATTGACTTTCTATTAGAACCACAATCTTTTTGATGAATCATTTGATGAATTTTTGATGAACAAGTGGATTCAATTTTTCAGAAACCATCCTTTCCCTATTCCCTACAAGCAGTCAGCCGATCCAGCCAAAGCAAATGAAAAATACAAAGAAATCGACTGGAGTGTGATGACGACGAGGCTCTCGTATTTGGGAAAAGAATTGGATGGGCTGAGAGTGAATGCATAATCGAATCAGAAATCGAATCAATACTGTACTTATCAAAAAAAAAACGACTCTTATAAAAACGACGTAAAGTTTACGAGGTTTCTAAGATCTTTCTTTCCTTAATAAAGAAATTAATTAATGAAGAAATTCAAAGTATTTGTAAACGAATTTGATCTTATTGCCATGTCAAATCTGCCCTATATTTAATCTTTTCGTACCTGTGTTTCCTAACTGTACTATTTTTTGGTTTTCTGTACTATTTTTTGGTTTTCTTTCTTTTTTGTGAAAGTATTGTAGCAATATGCGGTTGTGATTATCTGATTCGCTTCAAATATAATAAAAAAAAACAATGCGCGCGTTTAACGAATTGTTTAAATGTTTAAATGTTTAAATGTTTAAAAATACACGTCTAATGGTTGAACTAGACAGGATTTCCCAGAATTTTTTTGTTTTCTTGATCTCTATACACGAGAATTTTTCATCACCTTCAGATTTTTGCAATAAAATTACAACTTTCTATTGGACATTGTGGTGGATAATAAATACTATTACAATAAATAAGAATTTGAATCATACACTTTATTGATCACTTTAAATCATTCAAATCAGAGATCAGCGTTTCCTTCTGCTCGAGATCAGCGTTTACTCCTGCTCGGGATCAGCCTCTACTTCTGCTTCAGCGAAATGGGACACTTCTTTACTAAAAAAACGAATTGAAAATCTCTTATGTGCTAGTGATTTGAAAATTTGAAAATTTGACAAAATTTGAATTGGGAATCTTGGATTATATATTTTATGCATTGTTTTAAGGGTAGGGATGGACAAAACCCAAAGGCAAGGCTTTGCTAAGGCCTGGCCTGGCCTTGGCCTTAGCTTGACCCAGTTAAGATTCATTCCTGGGCCAGTCGGGGTCAAGCCAAAGTGTCCTTTCAGGTCAGGTTCTGGCCCAGTTTGACCTGGCTTACAGGCTAGTGAATCCGGTTCGTCCATCTCTATTTCTATCACCATTTTTTAAAACTTTATTGTTGAGGAGTTGTTGAAGTTGTTGTTGTTGTTGAAGAGTTGTTGAAGAAGCTGTTGAAGATGTTGTTAAAGAAGCTGTTGAAGGAGTTGTTGAAGAAGTTGATGAAGTTGTTGAAGAGTTGTTGAAGAAGCTGTTGAAGATGTTGTTAAAGAAGCTGTTGAAGGAGTTGTTGAAGAAGTTGATGAAGTTGTTGAAGAGTTGTTGAAGAAGCTGTTGAAGATGTTGTTAAAGAAGCTGTTGAAGGAGTTGTTGAAGAAGTTGAGGTTGTTGAAACTTGTTGAAGAGTTGCAAAAAATGAAGAAAAATCATTTAGTTTTGATACCAGAACTTAATAAACCGAAATTTTAAAATTCAGTACCAGCCTAGATGGATCCTTGTATTTGCCTTTCAAACGGAAACACCAAAAATCCGAGATCATTCTTAGGTGAACATTTCAAGCAACACACACCTTCGATATCTTTATTTGTTTTGTGGCGAAATTTTGTTAGTTTGATGCCCTTCTCTACTAGAGCGTTCCTCGCGAATAAACAATTAACCAAATAAATTTGCATCATTGTTTTTTTAATGGTCGGTTAATGACGGTTAAACTCGGTTATTTTTGTTTTCTTTCGACAGCTAGCTGACCGTCTCATCTCAGCAAGCAAAGCAAATTACAGGCTTCTGCGTCCGTCAGGGCCAACATCTTTGCCATCTCAGTCGGACCCTCAGCGTCGCCTTCTTCTTGGCTGGTGATCGTCTCGTTTTCGAGTCTCCTCACGATTTGTGGCGCATCTGTTTCGACCTCTTCATCCGGATCATTTTAGTTGGAGTCACCAGTGTCCGACGAGGAAGGGTGATTGGAACCAAAGGCATCTTTTGCATATGTAGCCAATGTCATGCTCAATTCAGTTTCAGAACCAAGCTTTCCGATAGTAGACCAAGAATTGTTAGACCCTTCCCTAGGTTTGTTCTTTAAATCTTAAGCAAAAAAACAGATGCGTGTGGAACTTAATAAAATATGTTAACACAGTTTCAAAAGACCACGAAATGGCCTTTTTTGACAGAAGACCACGAAACTTTTAAAAGACCACGAAACTTTTAAAAGACCACGTAACTTTTATTAGGTTGATGCAAAAGTCTTTTTCATTTTTTTCGTACTTCCGTTAAAAAGTAACAAATGCACCAATTGAACAACGGTTTATTGCATTCGAAAGGCCAATTATTTTTCTGCAAGGGCCCTCATGGTATATTGGTTAAGTTCTCACTTCCAAACTGAGGGTGTGGGGTTCGGCCCCCCTAGGGTTCTCTTCCCTAGCCCGTGCGCCCAGACTAGAGGTCTCTTCTCTAGAGCTGACTAGAGATCCCTTCTCTAGCGGAGTTCACTCTTCCACTGGGTTGGCCCATTCATGGCTTGAGGTTATTAAAGCAAGAAGCCTATCTTCTATCTATCTTCTTTTCTCCCCGCCTCCACATCGCCGAGTAAAATATCTCATCTTTCTCTATGTATTTATGTGTAGATTTGTGTATTGTCTGACTGATTACGCTTTATTTCATGTCCTGAATAAAGTATGAATATATAAAATGACATTAAAACGAGTTTAAAATGTCTTATGTCTAGATTTTTTTGAGAGCCTGAAGTCGGGTAGTCAAAAAGAGGCGACGGCTCGATGATGGATTTTAGACGCTTTAGCTAAGGAAACCAATCTTGATGTTAGTAAATAAAAGATAGAGCACAAAAAGTTCGATATTTTTTCAGATTTTCAGAGAAATTGATTCAGCCAATTTCTTTATAGAGGTTTTTATAGATTTTTATGAAAAACCCGTTTTCACTCTCGAATTTGCGTGAAAGTGAACCCAAATTGACTTAAAAAGATGGGAAATTGAACAATAAACACTTTTCATTTAGAGTAAACCATAGGTTAATTGATGACTTTGTTATTTTTCAAAAGAAGTACGAAAAAATGAAAAAGACTTTTGCATCAACCTAATAAAAGACGACGTAATTTTAAAAAACCACGAAACTTTTTAGAGGCCACAATACTTTTAAAAGATCAAGATACTTTTAAAAGACCACGATACTTTTTAAACGACCAGGATTCAGGGAAAGAGCCTTTCTTTCGAATATATTGGGTTGATGCATAATTATCCGGACTTCTTTTATAAATGATTTTATTTAACAAAAAATAACATAAATAGTTAGAAAAATATGTTTAATTGATTATTCTGGAGCATATTCACCGCCTACATCAATAACTGATTGCCATTTGCTTGGAAGACGATCGATTCCACGAGCGAAGAATAAACGATCTTTGGAGGCAATCCACGCTTTAACATCGTCTATCAAGTCATCCAAATCGTTGTAGATCTTATTTGTTTGCCAATTTTTGAGCGATCGATTGACGTGGTAGTCCGTTGGGGCTTCTCCAGTTCTTTGAGATCGCGAAACGACTCTGCGGCAGACCATCCCTTTTCGAAGTGGTAGAGCATGATATGGCGAAGATGGATATGATTGTCGACACGCATTTTGTTCACTAAAGAATAACGAATATTTAAAAAAAAGAAATAGACAAAAAGCTTTCAAAACAAAAAAGATACAAGCACGCAAAAAGAAGTCCGGATAATTATGCATCAACCCAATATATTGTTACAAGCGTCCCTTGGAATTTTTTTTACTCTTTCTGCTTCTTTTTCTTTCTTTTCTTTTAACTTAGTTCTTTATTTAATAAAATTTATTTTTAGATTAACTCTGCACCATAGTGAATTTGGAATAGAAATCAGAAATGGAACAGAAGAGCAATAGAAGAGCAACGGAAATCAGCAACAACATTTGGAACAATATCAAATGGATAACGAGGACAGTTTTTTTCTGTATAGTTTCAAACTTTTAAAAAAAATTACTGGAGTTAATTGCTTTTTGAGAAAAGAAGAAGGAAAGGTAATTGCTAAAAAGAAAAAGCTAAAAGAAATCAAACTCGAACGTTTAAGGCAAGATTTGGCGCGAATTTGGCGCAATTTTGGCACAATTTTGGCGCAATTTTGGCGCAATTTCAGCGCAAATTTGGCGCAATTTCAGCGCAATTTGGCGCAATTTGGCGCAATTTCAGCGCAATTTCGCTGCAAATTTGGCACAATTTTGGCGCAATTTGGCGCAATTTGGCGCAAATTTGGCACAATTTTGGCGCGAATTTGGCGCAATTTCAGCGCAATTTTGGCACAAATTAGCCAGCCGCATAAATTTGAACCAAGCTTTTCGAAGAAATTTGAATTTTGAAATTTTGAATGTAAAATTTACATTCAAATTTACATTCAAATTTCCATGGGGTGTTTACGGTGGCTTTCTTCGAGCGCACATTTTTGGGGAAACGCATTAATCGAGAGGAACACATTCTTTTCTCGACGCATTTCTCGACTGCGGTGCATTCGGATCGATTAACTTGAGGCCACCGATTGAAAGGATCAGAGTTTCGACGAAAATGGCTGCATCCAAAAAGTTGAACAGCCGGAAATTGTGTTCAAAAATTTGTGATCAGAGTTCCGAAAAAAAATTGGCACAAAAAAAAGTTCATCGGTTTCGTGTTGGCACAGATGTCAGCTCTGATAGACGACGAAAATGTTCAATGGGCGGATTTTTCGAGATATTTCACGAGATTGGTCCACATTTTGCAACCGCCTGCAACGGATTTACTGTTTCTAAATTTGGATTGACTTTTTACATTTTCTACATTCTATAAATTGTCATTACATTTTCCACATTCTATAAATTTGTCTAAAAACCTGTTTGATTTAGTTTTTGCTCATTCACGAACTCAGGATTACTTTCGCGAAGTATTAGGTGTGTGAAAAAGTAATCCACGTTTTTTATTTTTATCTGATGACCAAATAAAACGCTGTCTTCTCGAAAACCCTCGTTCAACCTCTTCAGAAATAGGCCTTACATTAAATTGTGATGGGTCAACCGTAAGGAAACGCTTGAATGCCATGAATTTTATCAAAAAATTGGACAAATGGATACCGC